CACACACACACACACACACACACACACACACACACACACACACACACACACCTGTGTTCTTTGATCTTGCTCCAGGAGTAGGGACGGATAATCTCCTCCACTATGGCCGTGTACGCGTACTTCCACCACGCCTTCGGGCTGACCTTGAGACTCACGTTGGGGTGGTACTTGCGGTACCGCTGGTTGATCCTCATCAGCTGGAAGGAATCTTTTAGGTTGATCAAGTTCAGGAACTGGGAACAGAAGAGACATTGATGGAGTTGAGATTCATCTTTTTTATTTACGTCCACTTTCTCCTTTTCCTCTTTTTTCCACCTTCCCATATCTCTTTATCTCTCTCCTTCTTCTTCTGCTGCCCCCTTCCTCATCCCCCCTGCAACCTCCATTCACTCACTTGTTGCACTGATTACACCTCTCTTCTTCTTCTTCTTTCCTACCTCCTTCATCTTCCTCTCCAACTTCCTCCCCTTCTCTCTCATCTGTTGCATAAACAGTATTAGCTTTCAATTTCTCCTCCTCCTCCTCTTCTTCTTCTCCTCCTCCTCCTTCTTCCTTTTTTTTTTCTTCTTCTTCTTCTTCTTCTTCTTCTTCTTCTTCTTCTTCTTCTTCTTCTCCCCTTCCCCTCCACCCCCTTCATCCTCCCTCTGCCCTCCCGTCACCAGTTGCCTAGACAGCAGTATCTCTCTCCTTCTCCTCCCCCTCTTTCCCTCCCCTCCCTCTCTTCCTTCCCCCTTCCTCTCCCTCCTCCCCCCCCCCTCACCTGTTGCCTAGACAGCAGTATCTCCACCTCCTCCACAGTAAAGTCCATGAACAGTTTGGGCAGTGTGAAGCTGTTGTCTGTGTTGAGGATGAGTCGGGCCTGGGCGGCCACTGGCTCCATGACTGGGGGAGGGCAGAAGGGAAAAAGGTCAGTCTAGGGTCAAGGTCAAAGAGAGGGTCGAACACACATTTAGACTTGTGCACGTTCACAAAAATAAACTTTCCCTCAAAAACATGAATTTGTACATTTAAATCCCACACACACACTTTCTCTTTGTTTCTCTGCTCTCTCTTTCTCTCCATTTCACACACATGCACACATACACTTGGTCTTGAGCATACACTCAATAAACTGATAATTTAAACATGTACACACACAGATGTTCGTACATCTACTCACATATGCACCCACACACATACACAAATACTCACAAAAATACACTCACCCACTTACTGAAATACGCATACAAACACACATATGCACCCACACAAAGATCCCTCCTCATGAAAATAAATAATACAAATCATCAACTCACTGAAATCCAACTCCTCTTCAAAAATGCTGTGAGAGTCAATTGATATCCTGAGCAAATTCTGAAAACCAAAAACAACAACAACAACATCACTACAAACACAAAGTTGATTACAATTATTATCAGACTGCTAGCTAAATACAAAAAATTAGAAAATTTTTCAGGAGCAAAGTGCAATGCTGACATTAAAGAACAACAACCTTGAATACATGGGTAGTATTGCAAACAGACATATCTCAAAGGCCGCCAAAACTGACTTATGTCTGTATGGAATACTGCCCGCGAATAGCTCTTTTGGCTAAATTCAAACAAGAAAGTAACAATTTTTTAACATCCCTCAGATTCATGAGAACAATATTAATTTCAAGGGCTATCAGTACATTGTCAAAGTGACGACAAACACAAAAGAATGACCATCATCCACCTCAGCGGTTACTCACTCTCTCCCTCACTCACTCACCCTCCAGCCGTCTGTGTTGAGTCTGGACTTAAGCAGATGTTGCTCGGGGACGTAGGGTGTCCAGTACAGCGACAGCTCGTCCATCTTCAGCATCTGAGGACACAAAGAAACACATTTAAAAAAACCTTCACATTATTTATTTCTTTATATTAGAGGGTTTTACGGCGCTCACAACTGCCTAAGGTCATATGAGCGCCAAGGGGTGGGTGTCAACAGAGAAGTCTTTACAGGAATCAGACTTATTCTGCTCACCTCTCTAGCTTCAACAGCACAAGGTCTGCTTCGAATATCAAGGCACCCCGGAAATAGCAGGTCACAAGAGCGTGACAAACATACAAAAGAAGTAGAGGGAAAATGACAATAGTAAGGATTAGGAAAGAAAAAGCAG